GTCTGCGGAACAACAAACCAGCTCGGCGAGCCAACCAACCTCAACACCCACAACCCGAGCTACTGATCTACTCCAAAACCTTAGAATTGTGAAACCATTTATTATATATTATGAGGATAGGCAACTAGTTTCACTTGCATTTCAAGTCAGTGGAGATGTCATAGCGGTGTGAAACTGAATGGTTGATTTTCAATTTCAACCAAAAAATGGCACAATTTGCCTGCTCAATGCAAATGAAGCTTGGAGCTTAATTCTGACTTAGCCTCAAGCCACCTGACTTTGCTGACTTCATTTTGCTTCTTCAGTTTTGGGGCAGGAGTGCACTTTCATAGCCAGATACTTGAAAGAGTTTGTGTGCCCAGACAAGCCAAAATTTAAGAAAAAAACATCTATCAATAACTAAATAAAAAACTGAAAGAACTGCGGATGCTGGAAATCAGAAACAAAAACAGAAATTGTTGGAAAAAAAAAATCAGCAGATCTAGCAGCATCTGTGAAGAGAAATCAGAATTAATGTTTTGGGTCCAGTGGCCCTTCTTCAGAACCTGCTGCCAGATCTGCTGAATTATTCCAGCAATTTCGGTTTCTGTGTCAATAACTAAAATGTGCTGGTTTTAATTTTACTGCATGCTTTCCATCGGGTGTCAGTTGGCTCAGTTGGCTGGATGGCTGGTTTGCAATACAAAAGGATTCAACAGTATGTGTTCAATTCCGCAATTGGCTGAGGTTACCATGAAGTGCTCTCCCCTCACGTGATGTATGGTGGCCCTCTGATTTAACCACCATCAGTTGTCTCTCTATAATGAGACAGCAGCCCTGCAGTCTGGTAAAACCATGGTAACTTCATTCCTTTCCATGATCATCCATTTACTTATGTTTTTCTTTCCTAATTTACTTTAATTCAAATCTATCATTTTAAAAAATTTATTTAATTAAATAAACTATTTATTGGAAACTAAACGTCATTGAAAGACTTTATATTTCCCTTTTTGGCTGAGACAATACACCTTGAAATCCTGAAGGCTACAAATAAGTTTTCATTTTTAAAAATTTCTGAATAGTTTCAACATTTCTTAAGTCTTCCTTAAGATTCAAAAAAAGTCTATTGCAAATTTGGCATTTGCCACCTAGTACCAATATTATCTCTGAGACTGTAATACTTCAACATCCTTCTTCTAAGAACTCAAAGTTGTAGCATGAGTTTCTAACTTGGTTGAAGAATTCAGCCATGAAGTAGACACTGAAGACTTCAGAAGTAACCCTAAAGTTCTTCTGGTACATTTTCTTTATTGGTAAGGTCAAATTTGAATCTAGAATTATAAAACTGTCACCTTACTTTTCATATGGGCAAAGAAATTTGCCATGTAATGTTACACAGTCATAGAGACGTATAGCACAGAAACAGAACCTTCAGTCCAACTCATTCATGCCGACCAGATATCCTAAATTAATCTACTCCCATTTGCCAGCATTTGGCCCATATCCCTCCAAAGCCCTTCTATTCATATACCTATCCAGTCACCTTTTAAATGTTGTAATTGTATCAGCTTCCACCATTTCCACTGGCAGCTCATTCTATTCACACACCACTCTCTGCATGAAAAAGTTGCCCCTTTGGTCTCTTTTAAATTTTTCCCCTCTCTCCTTAAACCAATGCCCTCTAGTTTTGGACTCCGCTACCCTTGACCTTGACTATTCACCCTATCTATGCCCCTCATGATTTTATAAACCTCCATACGGTCACCCATCAGCCTCCAATGCTCCAGAAAAAATAGCCCAGTCTATTCAGCCTCAGCTCAAACCCTCCAACCCCGGCAACATCCTTGTAAGTCTTTTCTGAACCCTTTCAAGTTTAACAAATCCTTCCTAAAGCAAGGAAAAGACCAGGATTGAATGCAGTATTCCAAAAGTGGCCTAACCAATGTCCCCTATAGCTGCAACATGACATCTCAACTCCTACTACTCAATGCACTAACCAATAAAGGCAAGCGTACTAAATGCCTTCTTCACTACCCTGTTGAACAACTTTACATTTATACAATTTGACAACAGAAAACAATCTAAATGTCAATATCATTAGCCATGATATTTATTGCCACTTTGCTTTGGTTCATTGTTTGTGGTGCCAATATCTTGGTGTTTCACTGTGTAAAATTACTGTCTGTGCTGAAAATACAAATTGACAATCTTGATAAAAACTGAAAGAAATGTGGATGCTGTAAATCAGGAACAAAAACAGAAGTTGCTGGAAAAACTCAGCAGGTCTGGCAGTATCTGTGAAGAAAAAATCAGAGTTAATGTTTTGGGTCCAGTGACCTTCCTCAGAACCCAGTTCTGAGTTCTGAGGAAGGGTCACCGGACCCGAAACGTTAACTCTGATTTTTTCTTCAGAGATGCTGCCAAACCTGCTGAGCTTGACAATCTTGATGTTGGTTTTAAGAACAATGCTTAAGTGTCTGAACAAATGTAGAAACTCCAAGGTTCAAATACATAATTCTATAAAGGTTAAGTACAAGTTGAGGCCATAAATAAGGTTAGTGGTATTTTGATTTTATAAATAAAGTGATGTGCAGATTCTTAGACAGGCTATAACCTCTTCTCAGGAAAATCTGCTGTACCTCATTCCACTCAAGTACTTGATGACTACAATGAACTTCAGCAAATTGGGAAGGGGGTGCCTGCTGCTGGTAGTGACACCAACCTGAGGCCAGGAAAACAATGGATCCTATGCCACAGGTGGGTGTAGGTGAAAAGGGAGATTAATGGGTTGGTGGATGGGTCACAGGAGAGGGGAATAGCAACTAGGGTGGCTTTCAACTGGACTTCCCCTCCTAACCTGGGCAAAGCTTTAGTATTACTCCAATGTCCTTCGTGGAAATGGCAAAACGAACATTAAGAAATTCTTAATTATTCTAAGCATATAAACTGCCATTTTCACGTGGACTTCACAAAAATATTAAAAACAGAAGTTCCATATTTTGAAAAACAAAATATCTGCATGCAATTTTATTTTATTTTGGGTGCTGAAATTCAATTATTTCCATATTGGGCTGAATGCTTCATTGGAGAAACTGGGAATTTAACGAAAGTCTAAAAATGCTGAATAACTAATATGCCTACAAATAGCCTACAGATATTCTGTGCCCCAATGAAATGACACTATAGATATTTGTCAGTCTCTTGGTTCTCTGGGAATCTCCATATGCCACATGTTAAAAAAAAAATGAATGCAGGTCCTACCTGGGTAGGCTCCACAACTGCGTTAGAGAGAGTGAACAGCTTGGGCATGGGAAGAGATGGGTAGTTAATTTTATATTTATGCCACTGTGAACATTCTCAGAGCAGCAAAAAGTGACACTGCTCAACATGGGTGCTGATAAATTAATTAATATATTAATTATAAATAAAATCTAATTGCACCAATTTCTCTCAGTAGCGAAAGGATAAGTTGATATCAAAGATACAATGGGGTCTCATTCATTTTCTCCCATTTGATGGCAATCTTTTCAGATAAAATCATGGTAAGACTAAATTGAAGACTAAGACTTTAATAGTTCAGGTAAAGTATGACTAATGACTGTATCAAGCAGAAATTGTTTTAAAAATTGTCCTTGGAAGTGCGAGCACTTCTGCAGAACAATTAACTTAATTAACCAGACACATGCATATTCATAAGGCTGTTAATGTCTCCCTTTTCAAGCTGATAAATGTGTTGTAATGACTTTCTACTCAAGCATATCTGAAACTCTTAAAAACTAACTTAATACTAGCAGTTTAAATTAGGTTATTTCTCTTAATTTTCAACCAAAATAGAGCTAAGCAACATTTTTGCCCACAAAATTAATTGAAAAGTAAACAGTTGTGCAATTAAAAGCTAAAAGTGTGCAAACTTTCAGGTTCACAACCTGAAATATATAAACTCTTATGGTAGGTTGTTTCACATTGATTAATAAAGCTTTTAACTTGTTGTCAGCCTTAAACACAATGTATCTTAATTTTCTTTCCTTGCACATCTATACATCACCAGACAACTGAGAAAGATTTTGCTTTGAAGATCTCAAAAAAATTTCCTTTCAAATCTCATCTAGTAAAATATTTATGAAAAAAGATTTAAGCTTCATTATTTGAACCAGTTGACACTTTTAGGCTATTATAACACTAAATTTTAAACTGAAATGCTGCATTCAATGCTTTGTTGTATACATACCACTTTTGCATTCTAGTTAATAACAGATTTTACATATTCAGATCTAATAAAAAATGTCTATAATAACCGAGGCAGCCACCATAATCATGCACGAACTTATTAGAAATTAAATTTGCAGGTTCACATCCTGATACTACAACACTTTCTTCAACTGAAGGAATAATTTTCCAGTAATCAACTTAATTTTGTTGATTATACCTAGTAATAC